GCAGTACAGGCCAACATGTGGAACATGTTATCCTATGAATACCACACTTGGTGCATACAGAATACTAATTCAAATATACTTACACTTTAGATTAATTAAAATGCAAATTTTTCAGTACACTCAACATGCTGTTTCGATGTATAGACTTGATTTGAATAAATATGACATTGTGTGGAAGCGGCCATCATGTTTGTATGACAATTTTACCAACTAGTCAAGTTGCAATTTGTTTTAGTAAGGCAACATTTATCGAATGTCTTGTAAAATTTATATTAACGTTTTAGGTTTAAGTATTTATATGCCAAATACTTGAGAAAGTGGAATTACCCTGTGAGATTTATATAGTTCAACGACCTTGGGGTGTTGTGATTGAGGTCCGGCCATGTTTGTTGAGAGGAAAGTGGGATGAAAAAGTATAATTGTAATTTAACATTTGTATTTTGGTGCTAATTTACTGCAGATTGATTGCAACAGAAGTTTATATTGCAATGGAAGGAAGCGACAGAGGTAAGTGTAATATTTAAGTTAATATTGTCCGTAGAAAAGTTCATATTTTGACAACATTGAGGGCAATGGCAGTGTCAGGGTCGGAGGCAGACCTAGTTCAGTGACCGCGTTTCTTTACATTTTTTGGAAAAAATAAGCCGAAAGACCAACCGGACAAGCTCGGTTACATAATCGTTTTTATCAGTATTAGCGTCTGTTATGATAACATTGTATATATTTACAGACTATTCTTTCATACAAGTTTTATGTATAGGTTGTATGGACGTTAATGATGCAACTGTTTGTATTTTTTTACGACAGACATAATAAATTGAAATTTTAGAGGTTGTAACTTTTTTCCAAGACGTAGCAGATTAAAATTTTGAAGGATATTCTTATACGATATGCTGCAATTACTTACATTACATTTTCATGTGCTGCAGTGATAAAATTGGCCCAGGAAGAGGCCTACATGTATTTTGTGTTATGTAGTGCAATATTCACAGTTAACATGTGTTACAGCCACTAAATGGTGGGATTTGTAGGTTTCTCTGCATGTGCATTTTTTCTGAGTCTTGTCATGCATGTGGTTCTTGTTTAGGGTCATAGGTGACACTAGTATGCACATTTGCAAGGTTTGTAGACAGTTCCAGACAAATTGTTGTACACATGTGTTGGTTTTTCGGCCGTATGTAGTCATTATTTTGTGGGTGAATGCAAATAGTTAACTGCATTAATAAGATATTGTAAATGCGTCATATTTAGTTGATAGAAACATTCCTGAAATGCCATTGCTGAGAGTAAACAGTGTTGTGTAACTTGCATAATAGTACATGAATTCCATTACATAACATAGCATTAGAATTAGAATTTATTTGCATTCCATAGAGCCTTCATAGTACAAGCCAAGGTTGTGGAACACATAATATAAATACCAGCAGATAATACAAAATAAAATACCAATCCAAATTAAATACATAGCTGTTTAACAGCTGTTTACATAAACATCTACAGTATTTCTGCAGAGTAGAAGGAATGAGAGAAAAGACCATCTTTCAGTGCTTTCTTAAATACTGTTGTATTGAGATTTAAAACATTTAATATCAGATGGAAGTGTACTGAATAATTTGTTCCCTGCATAGTAAGCACCTTTCTGTTGACTAGTTAGGTTAGCATTCAGCAGCTTATGGAAGTCATATTCATGCTTTGTGTTGCTACTATGTATGTCAGAATTTGTGTGAATTTTTTCCATGTTGTCCACAGCAAATGACAGTAGTGGGAATAAGAATTTACCTGAAAGGAGAATTGTATTAAATATCTTATTACTGTGCAAGAGACCTAATTTAACACATGCCATTATTCCAATGATTTTCTTTTGGGTGTTAAATACTTTTTTGCTGTCTGTTTAATTTCCCAGGAAGGACTTTGTATTACATGATGAAATGGAAATAAGCATAGTAAAGTACTTATCATACATTTACCAAAATATGATGCTGATAAGATAAGATGGTGCTGTTAAAAAGCAAATTCTGGCCTACCTTTTAGTTTTGGTAATTTGTAGTATATTCCTCAGCTTTTAAAGTTCATGTAGGTATTTGACTGAGATTTAGTTTATTCAATAATGCAATGTCAGCTGCCTTTAGTGTTATGTTATGTGTGCCTGTTTTAATGTTTGTGTCAGAAATTACTGAAAAAGTGACAGTGGAACCACGGTTCTGGAGAATATGACGTAAATACGTCTCTGTAATGTAATGAAATATAATGTAATGAAATGTAATGTAATGTAATAATTCTTGTATAAGATAAGTACTTGTGATTTTCTAAAACGTTTTTACCAGCACAAAATTATCTAGTCTACGACGCACTTCTTCTACAAGCGATTCACAGCTCAGCTCTTTGCGCAATAACAAAAGTGGATTGTTGACGGCAGTAATGTACCACAACAATGCCGAGTAAACAGATGACCTTTCCTAGGTAACATAACAATGCATGCAAACTGAACATTGTTGTCAGTTCATATTTACAAATTGTTGATATTTCCTAGGTAACCATCTTACACATTTTCCTGTCACTTTTTCGTTACACTTTTTGTAACTCTTTTTTAGGGAATGACCCTTCCATATAGATGTATTTACCTCAAAAAACAAAACAAAAGGAATGTCAATCAGAAATTTGGTTCCCTAGTTCATTGCTCACCACTTTATACATCATCCTGTATCTCTCAGAAATTAGAGTGGCGAAATTGGTAGTGTTGTCTTGTAGATCATCATTTAATGATTCATGGACCAATTTTTTTAACATTATGTTATTTTCATTCCATGTATAGAAGAATGAATGTTTTACATCTTTAACTATTCTTCTTTTTTTCATTTGTTTTTAGGGACTAAATAATTTGTGTCAAACATTACTGCTTTTTACCGCTTTATATTTTGTGGAATATAATGATGATGTGCTAGGCTAAATGGTGAGGAAGAAGGCACAGAGTTTTGGGTTGTTTGCTGTACATATCAGAAATGGGGAAACAAAGCCATGTTGACCTTTGGAGGATAGATATATCTAAATTTCGTGTGTCATCGTACATGGTTATTAACTGTAAATATTCATTGTGGGTGATTGTAGATTCAAATTTAATACCACATGAAGAAGTTAATTTGTGTAAAATAAACGTGTTTAGACACACTAGAAATAATTATATTTTTATACTATATTTGTGTTAAATAGCATAAGACTGAGTACCAGACTTTAAAAGAAATTCTGCAGTTTCATCATTTGTGCATCAGAAACAGTTGAAGTAAAATGTCATACATGATTGAAGAATTGTTGCTTCTGATGCCAGGTGGTGAAGTAAAGGTCAAATTGCCCTTGTGGTTCTGTACCACATTACAAAATTGTACACCGAGGTAGAATTAGTGATCACCTTCTCGATGTGGCCACTTTACCCCCAGAGAAAGACACTTGGCTACCACTTGATAATGAGGCTGTATGGGTATTATAGCTTCTTCAAATACTCTGAAGAGAAATTGCCGTCTTTCTAAGGAATCAAACTTCAGGTGTCCAGACCATAGGGCAGAGGCAAGTGGCAGCAAAAACTGTAAATACATTTTTTGTCAGCCCATGTATATTTGCGGTCTAAGTTATAAGGATTGTATTTGGAAAGGAATGTACAGTGCTGGAAGAATTACCTGTAATATGCTCACATATGGGCCATGTCAGGTGAAGCTAGCAGCTGGAGGAAATAGGGTTCCTATTGTGGTGAACAGTTATACTGCTCTAGTAGGAGGGATTTACCTTGGCTGCAGGAACGGCTGGGTTCAGTTATTTTTATTTCCTTACTTGTTTCTGAAAAGCAAGAACAGTTTATATATTATGTTGATTTGGTCCATCTTGATTTCGTGATTTGCGAAAAATATTTGGCTCATCCTCATGAAAGTTTATATAGGCTAAAAGCCATATCATTTGAATACATCACAATGCCATATATTTAAAAGTTTATACTTATGTTTCATTGAATATGAAGAATGTGAAAAGTCATGTGACAGCAAGAGTAATGAAATTTAATCCAAAATGTTGATAGTTTATGTAAGAGTTTTTTAATATATTTGATAATAGATCCTTCAAAACTATGTCAGATATTTAGTATTTAAGAATGACGATAGTAAAACAGAATTGCATTCACAAAGAAATGAAAAATGAGTTTAATGTGGGAGTACTTGTTACTTGCTGAAGTTAAGCATTTTTTTGTCTTCTCATCTGTCATTGAGAAGTGTAAATTAAATATATAAAACTGTAACTTCACTGTTGTGTTGTATGGGTATGAAAGTGTCATATTAAGGGACAAACATGGGTTAAGAGTGTTGAGAATGGGGTACTGAGGAGAATGTATGGTGGCCAGACTTGATAAACAGTGTCATAGTTTGTGTCAAACATTTGTAGTGGATGTGAGAAATGCATGAAAAATTTCAGTTGGTAAAGCAAATGGAAGAAACCATTTGTAAGACCCGATCATAGATGGAAGGCAAAAAAATGGATCTTAAGGAAATAGGTTGGTAGAGTGTGTACTGGATTCATTTGGCTGAGGAGGGAGACCAGTAGTGGGCTGTTGTGAGCACAGTAATGAAATTTCAGGTTCTACAGAAGGCTGGGATTATCTTGGTTGGCTGAGTAACTATAAGCTTTTGAAGAAGTTAAATATAATCAGTTTCTGTAAGGGTAATTTGAGTTTGAAATGGGAAATATTTGGCATTAACACTCATTAATTGATTATTGAATTTGTGGTGATGTGTTTTGAATCCTTCAAGTTTGTTTTTGGATCTTTGAGGATCTGTTAGTAATTGTCCTCTCATTCAACACCATATACTTTCAGAACTGAAATAGTATCATAAAATGAAGTAGGATACAGAGATGCATAGATTATCATGGACAGCAGTAAAGGGAAAACCTGTGAACATTTTTTGAAAGAAGGATTTATATCTGGTTCAAGGTTAAAAATTGTATATGGATCATTCTTGCTTGACCTATAAAGAGATGTTTCAGTAGTTGGATTTTGTAACCACCTAGTTTTGAAGATGGCATGTTGAGACTGAGGTACATTAGTTGTAACCAGTTTTGGTTAGAATGAGTGACTTGTATGGATTTAAAGTAACAACACAATACCTTAAAACCATCCTCATTTACTGTCTTGATTTAACATTTGATTCCAAATTATGCTGATATTACTTATGTTTTATTATCTTCAGTTCATTTTAAGTTCCTCTTTATTTGATGGGTCTGATTCATCTGTCATGTATTATGAGTAATTTGACAGGTTTTGATTTTGCTGTTATTACCATAGCTTTGTTTAACTTAACTTGGTTTGTGGCAATATTACTTCGGGTCATAATTTAAAACACTTTGTACGTTCCTAGACAACAGATAGGCTAATGATAATGCCTGAAACGCACCTTTCAAGTGACCCCCTCTCCGCAAAAAGTAATTTGAACATTCGTGTTACCTTTTAACATTGAGCACTGAATAAAATGCCGATTTTATGAAAATAATGGTAAAGATGACAACGCAGTATTTTGAGAATCAAAGTTCTCGTTGTGCTGATTACGGTAGTAAATGTTATCACCACAATTAATATAAGCAATGTCTCCATTATGTGTATTGCATAGCGTGTAGTCTAAACAAGATTTCGCAGGGGCACTTTGGTTTCACAGCAAACATCTAAAACTCTTTGTTAGTTAATGTCTCTAGTTACAAAAGTAAAAATTGGAACCCCAGTAAAACTGCCTTTAACAGACGGAAAGTAACGCGGATATGGAAAAGAAAAACAGGATTCTCAGTTTTGTGTTCAGAATGTTGTTCCCTGGCGTGCTTCATTGAGTTATGTGTGACCATTTCTGACACAAAAGATAAAAAATTAGCTGATGCAGGCATTTCGATATCCACTATAAAGAGAAGAAGTGTACCTTTGGTTTACAGGATATGGGGAAATTTTCAAAACAAAACCAAAATGTAGAGGGAAGAATTCTCTAGGAGTTATTGCGTAACCGTAAAGTTGGGAAAGTACACTAATTACACTGTGGGAGGACCGAGGTTCATAGAACGTGGCGTAAGCACAAACGAAGATAAGCCCTGCAATGTCACGGTCGACAGTGATCCAACACCCAGATTCTTACATGTGTACTGTGCAGGCGTCCCGTGGCAGTAAGACATAAGAAAATGGCAATTAAAGTGACTTCACGGCACACGAATACTGTGTTGTGTATTATTGATTCTCGTGCTTGTGGTAACTCGGTATAAGTTGCAGCCAGGCCTTGTGCACAAAGATATCCAACACGCCATCATCCAGACAGTAATGTGTTTCGCCAGCTGGACGAGAGAAAGGGAGACTGGTAACGTGTTACCAACACCACGCCGGACGTCAGCACTCACAGAGATGGTTCTAGATATGGTGGCACAGAATCCATGTCATAGTACACAAGGAATTGCCCGAGAGTTGGGTGTCGGCATCACGCCAGCCATTTAATCATCTAGGATGAAAATGTGTATTTGCAACGCTAATCACGGATTCAAGGTCACGTGCCTCATTATCGTCATCTTCGTCTCCAATACTACAAGTGACGGGAACATGAACGTGGTCCAGGGTTTTGGAGCTCATTAATAGTAGGAAGAAGCAGCATTAAAATAATAATGTGTGTTCAACAGTCACAACAGCCTCTTATGGGCACAGCATAATTCCCATGTGACACCCGAGTGGAGCCATCACGTTTGCTGGAGTATTTATTAATGTGTGGGCCCGTGTAGTTAGGCCGTACCAACTACCCGATTGCCTCAGTGGCTCTTCTTATTGTGTGTGCCTGCAGGAAGTTCTACCGGTGCTGCTTGAAGATGTGCCGCTGGACGTTCGACGTGACAAGGTGGAGCGCCGACGCATTTAGCATAGACCCAACATCACATCAACACAGTTTCCAATCAGGTGACTAGGACATGGCGTTTCTGTATTGTGGCTTGCGAGATCAACGGACCTGAACCCTCTGGACTTCGTCCTTTGAGGACACGCGAAAGAAATTGTTTACATGGACCCTCGAACTGACATGGAAGACTTGACAGCAGAGTTTCGTGTTGGTGTGGCGACCAGTGATGTTACGTCGTATGAACGCCAACATTCTACGACGTGCGGTTGCATGAGGACACTTTATACATCTACTATAACTACAGCCCTCTTAGTTACGTACCTACTCTGTTCTGTGTCCACAAGCGTTGTACGCTTCTCAAGTGTTTTTCCTGACATCGGTGAACATATGCTATTCTTTTGTATTAATTCACTTGTTCACGAGAGTCACCTTCAGTTTCTTTGTCGTTATTCAACCCTCTGTATTTCATCCTCTTCAGTAATTTCTGT